CCACGTCCGTACGAGCTGAGTGGGGACTGGACAAATCATTCGGCGTTCCTGGCCGTCTTCGGAAAGCCCATCTGCCGTCGCTCAACTCCGACCACCCCATCCCGTCAATGGGACCAGACCAGCCGTACGGGGTCACGTGAACAGCCACTTCATCCGCACTGCCGACAATGTATGCAGTGATTTGTGCTACCACATGTACCACTCGACAAAACTGAGATGTCATATGCACGGGGCAACGGATCTTGCATGGTACATGAAGAGCCAACCAATCAGATCGAGCTGTCAGGAGCGGAGTTTGGTTCCTTGATCAGCGTCGGACCACGCTGGGGGGTTTTACATACCATGCATGGGTAGTTATGTCGGATGTCGCAATCAAGGGATCTGGCAGTGGCTACTGTTTTATTTTTATGTCTGAATCTAGGGATGTGTCGAATTATTGGCGGTTGGTCGAGATGATGACACCTAACGTTTTCTCTATTCGAAAAAAATAGATTGGTAGAAATAACACCCATCCGGGACCGAGTACCAGGTTTGGAAAACAACCGCATAACATGCATGATGACGGAAGACGACGTTCGCCTGCCGTAGATGACGGGGTGGGGCTCATGGAGCTTCCCTGTCCTTGGGTCAACCCCAAGACGAAACAACTGTGGGCTGGTTTCCTGTCATCCGTCTGTCATCCACCTTTATCTTGGGTTGAGTTCTTTGCTTTGGTTATTTTCATTTATTATTATTAACGTTATTGTTGTTATTTGGTCCCTTAAGGCGATTCTTCTTGGTTTCTGGACAGCATCTGTGCAAGCTCTATCATGGTCGGAATCCAATCATCTTCTTAGCGATCGATCATGATAACAGTCTGAGACAGAAACATCGAACCTCTTGAACTGTTCCCTGATCCATCACCTTGCAGCGGGAGAAAAGCGGGTCTCGTGGTTTCTGCTAGCCTAGTATCTGTCAGGGTTTGTATACCCGCACGGTCCCTACGTTCTCATCCCGTAATTACACATAAATACAAGGCCCTTTGCGCAAGGCAACTGGTACTATACATTGATACCCCGTCAGACAACAAGTATCTTTTTTTCAAGGCTTAGCTGTTTACACCCCAATACCATGAAATACCAGCGATTGAGACCGCTGTGGCAGGATAAACTATGGTTCGTATCAGCCACCTAGCGGCGAGCGGTTACTCTCCGCGTTCTTTTGACACCAGCAAGGGTCATTCAATGATAATTGAACTGTTCCCTTTATTGCTCACTTATCTTGTCTCATCCTTGATTGATTTATGCATTTTAATACTCGGATCCCACCCTCCCCAAAACACAACCATGGATGCAGTAGGCTGCGAATACGAAGAAGTAGGTACTTCGCAGCTGAAAACAAAAGCAACGGCTTATTCAGGATGACAAATTCCGGGTCCCCCTCCCTTTCGGCCGGGAGCCCTCCTAAGCCCCCTTGGGTTTAGACATGGCAACTGGACCGTTCCTCAGGCCATAAAGAGCTACTTCCTTACTCCTGCGGCGCTGTGCTGTGCGATTGCACATGCATCCATGATTCCATACATGCAGCCCCCCATTGCCTCCCACTGCCTTGGCGGTATACCCAGTTTGGTCGGCCCCCAGTTTCACGTTGCAGGGGAGGTGTGGTTCAATTAGGTATGTGGTGTTACCCAAAAGGCCGTTCCCACTTACCGGCGGTTGCCTTTTCAATCCATCTGGTCCTATTTGCTAGTAGCTACTCAGTTCCTTCCTTCCTAAGTAGGTAGTAAGTACCTTCCTCGATCGTTGTACATTCCGGGGAAAGGGGGGAGACGGGAGTGAGGGAAGTCTTTTCCGTGAGTTTTTGACTCAGGCACACCCCACTTTGCGGATTTTTGAAAGCAGCTTTGCCTCCTCCTTTTTGTTTTTTTTTTTTTTTTTTTCCCTTCTTCTTTGTTCTTTGTGCGGGCGTGAGGGTGGCTTGACGAGTAATGCGGTATCCAGAATCAGCAACAGGTGGATAGTGAAAAGGGCAGGTAGGATTGAGGTATCCGCCACCCTGGACTAGCCACATACTACTCTAAACCCTAGAAGCCCTGCCCCCCCTTATAAGAGTGAGCGATTTTATTACCACATGCCGAGTTTGAACTCATGGCTGGGTGTAACAGTACCTTATCGATAACATCGACTTAGCTACCTGCGGGTGTTCCCATCAATCCTTCGCCACCCCTACCTGCCCTGAGGCAGTCCTGTCCGTGCGGGTTCAATTACCGGTACGTACATAGTAGTAGTGCCGTAAATAGTATATCTGGCCAGATGTTTCGGAATCCTGCTACTCGTATCAGTAAATTGATATCGCTGGGTTTCAGCGGCGTTTTGCCTCGGGGCGTGACTTAGTGCGAGCCCCTCTTGGACTACTAGGTTAGTCGGCTTATCTTAGTGAGAACTAAGCTGTGGGCTGGTTAGTTAGGCATCGTCGAAACTCAAACATTGCGCTATGCTACTTCGCCCCCGTGTTCGTGGGCTCAGCAATCTCAGGGTTTAGGTTCCTACTATTGAGGCTAGTTGTTGGATAGGGAGGGTGTAATATTTGGTCGGGGGTTTGAACGTGCGTCGACATTGGATAGTGTGGAATAGATTGGAATATTGCCTTGAAAGGAGTATTACATAAATAAATGAATTAATTAACGAATTGATGAATTGAGTAAATTCAATTTAGCAACAAGGAGTCGTATAGACATTTATGGTTAGTTATGACAGGCATCAAGATGACAGCCAAGACATGATGGTTCATGACTTGTTAGGATCACCAGGCTACTAAAGCGTCCCACTACCATTTATGCCTAGCACAGCACAGCATATTTGGTTAAGACACAGCCATCCAACCAGCCAGGCCGACAGGAAGAGGAGGCTGATTGGCAGTGTCATCGCCTAGTTAATTTCCATCAATGACACCTAGGCGCCGAGGGATTTCCCAATCATCTACTCCATAGCCGGAGCCACTCCTAGATCCAAGACAGTAGCCATGCCTGTTCTGTTCTCGCGGGCCCAAGCTGGGAAAATCATCACCCTCCCCGATCCCTTGGCACCATCTGTCAAGCCAACCTTAAGAGGGAGGACCGGGCGATGTACGGAGGCCTCGGAGGAGGGTTGGTTTGGGGGGAGGGAGGATCATGGTGGGTAAATACGATTCCTTGCCGAATCATATCTAAGTCCCCTTTGACATGGTAGTTCTTTTCTTTTCTTTTGATTTTCTTTTTGATTCTACTTTTTTTTTGCTTGATTTGACTTTCAATTGTAGTATTTATTTTCTTTGGTTCATGATTTTTGTCTCGCAGGGGCGGACGTCTACCCCCACCTCACACACTTTCTTCTAGCCCCTCCGCTGTCACAGCCTGGGTAATGGATAATAGGTATTAGATAATAATCACCACCACTAGGTAGGTATGATCATAACAACCACCACAATAGCAGTACATGACAGCACACTATCTCCAGCACAATGCAGGAATAATAGTCAACATCCGTATAGACATGAACAATAACAACAACGTTCAAAATGGGAAATCCCAAGGAGAACAATAAACCAGATTCGGAGTGGCAGACTCGGCGGTCCTCCGTACCTAGTTTGTGGCTACTGGATCCACACCCACCCACGATCGTCGGGTTCTGGGAAACCACATCTCCCCCCCCCCCCTGTTCTCCATGGGCGCCGCCTTGGCCTTTTGGGTCGTCCGACTTGGGGAGGTGGCTGCTAACTCCCTTTCCTCGGCGCTGATTCAATGTGTATTCTTCATATTTTATCTTTTCTTCTGTTCTTCATTTTTTGCTATTTCTATTTCATGATCTACTGTATTGTTTTGGTTTGAAAGCTGTCTTTACACTAAAAACCATAGTTGGTCAAGACATGAAGATCATTCACTGTCATTCATTTTAATCTTATCAAATCAGATTATTATTTTTCTGAATAGAGAATATATATATTTAATTAATAAATAAATGAAATGTGATGATAATTATGGTTCCCCTTTTGGTGGTTTCGCCCCAAGAAAGGGCAGGGTCCGAGTGGGAAAATTACACAATACCGAAGAAGCATGATAAATGACAAGGTTGAAAATTAAAAAGGGCGATCATCGGGAAAATAAAACAAATAAAACACAGAAATGGAAAAGGAAAAGAAAAGAGGAAAAAAGGAAGGGGAAAGTAAAAATGATTGTAATAATCAAATAGAAAAAAAAAGAAATAGAAAAAGAAAAAAGAAAGGTAAGGAAAATTGAATTAAATAAATCAAACTAAGTAAAAGAAAAAAAGAAAAGTCAAAGAATTAATTGTCTGAACCCCGAACCTAGGAAGAGAAAGAGATCTTGGTCCACCTAGCCCAGATCCAATTGTTGAGCTGCCTTCCTCCTTACCTTGCATAACCTTGGTTCAGCTGGTCCATCGTCATCGTGTGCGGCAATGTCACTGTCCTTTTTAGTACGATTTGTCGCCCATTTCTCTCCCTCGATCTTCATTCGGGATCTTGACGACTACCTTCTCCAACCAACCTTAACTATTCCTCTTAGACTTAAATGACTGACTTGACTGGATTCTCTCCCTCTTCCTTTCTTTGTTAATTCTCTACTCTTCTTTTCTTCTTCCTCGTCCCCTACTTTAATACTCGGTCTCCCCCATTTCTATATACTCCTCCATTAATTGCTCTCTTTCCTGCTTTCCGTCCCCACCTGATCCTTCGCATTGTCTTTTACCTCCTCCCCGAACTATATAATACCGCCGCCATCGTCATCCTGGATCTTCCACTAAACGATTCTCCATGGTTACACCACACAACCGCCATTGACGAGATCACCTTTTAATTTCGACTGACAATTGCGTGGGAGCCGCCGGCCGGTTGTACTGCGTTGTTCCAATCGCCGATCCAGGTCGCATCTCTGCCTCCTCTCGATTTGCAAACGTAGGGAAGGATAGCCTTGTTGCCTTCTTTCCTGCGTGTTACGTTCTTCGCTCGGCGCAGGACTCTTGTCTATGTCCCAGTACCGTGACCTGGGCGAGGGGAACGGAAAAATGGCCATTTCATATGCGAGCGGGATCCCCGCCGATCACAGCCAGGCCCTTCCCTCCTTTCGGGAGGTAAGTGCGGGCGCTTCAATTGCCAGTTGCTGCCTGAATTCGCGGAAGACTGACCTATTCCGCAGCTGCTCCCTCCTCACCTCCACGACGAAATCGAGTCGACCTCCTACTTCACCTCCCGCCAACCGCCACGCGAGCGCCCCGCTTCAGCCAGCCACGATGTCTCCGGTCCCCATCCGATGACCGATCCCCGCCCCTACGGCCCAACTTCCAAAATGGCCATGGGAGAAGTTCAGGCGCCCCGTGATTACTCGGTGGCCCCCCCAAACAGAAGTCACGGGGCGGTGCAATCCCGAGTCCACGGAAATGCGCCCGCACCCGCGCCTGCACCCCCCGCCACCTCGACGCCCCGGTTCGCTTCTCGAGGCCCGAGCCCCATCCTGCCCCCAATCCGGGACCTTCAATCAATCTCCGATCGGGGCGCCATCACGCCCACTGCGCCGTTCCCCGATGTACGGCCGGTCTCGCGACCCGACTCGTACTCCGCGCAGGACTATCGGGCTGGTCCCGCCCCCATCCACGGCTACGCGGGGTCCATGGGGGACAGGCGGAGTACGGATGCGTACATGGCAAACGGCGGACCGCCGGTGATGCATGGGCAGGTGGCATACCCGTACCCGCCCATGTCCTACCAGAGCGACTCGGAACAGTCGGCGCAAGCCTTGTCGCACGCCCATCACTCGAACTTTGGCATCCTCGGCGACCCGATCGACTCCAAGAACAAACGCCGACGAGGCAACCTGCCCAAGCCCGTCACGGACATTCTGCGGGCCTGGTTCCATGAGCACCTTGACCATCCGTACCCCAGCGAGGAGGACAAGCAGATGTTCATGACGCGTACCGGACTTACAATCAGTCAGGTTGGTTTCCTCTTTCGCCTACATATATGAAGACCTCATACTGACATGAAATAGATCAGCAACTGGTTCATCAACGCTCGACGACGCCAGCTGCCGGCGCTGCGCAACCAGATGCGCAACGGGGCCAGCGATTTTGACTCGCAGCGGCAGTCACCATTCAGCGACGTCGACCACAACTCCCCCGAGTCGATGCCGTCGCCCCATCGAATGGGGCCCAAGCCTTAGACTTCCCCCCATGAACAACGCACAACACGAGTTGACAGGGTCTCATATCAAATCGAGACGTCTTTGCTTTTCCTCGGATGCCACCAGTCGAGTGCAATCGACCAAGATCATTTTTGATACCCTTCCCGCTTCTAATCGAATTTTACCGGCCTTGCATAGGATACACGATCTAGAGACGTCCAGCAAGGGGTTTCATAGAATAACCCTCTCCCATCCACTTGGGCTTTGGCAGCCTACGGAGAGAGAATACTTGCATTTGTGGTGTTTTTGGTCACGTGGTGTTTATTTTTTATCTTATAGCCGTCGGTCTGGTGCTCATCTTCGCATTTGATGTTCTTTACTTTTTAATTTCCTTTGTCTATCTCCTATGTTATCCTCTCTTGGGCACCAACAGGTTTGTTTACCAGGAAATTGAGCATCTCGATGAGTGTATAGTATACTAAGTATGGATGATGTGACCATGTCAAGCTAGATTTTTCTTTTTTTTTTTTTTCTTTCTTATTTTTGGTCTGGTTTTATATAGAATGGCAATCAGGAATTCCTTCATTTTCAATTCTGTCAAATTCACTCCACTAGTCAATTAGGTTTGTAAAGAGGAGAGGAAAGAAATAAACGAGAAAAACAACTAAAACAAGGCAAACATGGTTTCGGACACTTTCCTGCCTGCCAAGTTGGGAGTATCCATGGAACCGACTGCCTGGTCCTGAACTAACCTTAGTTTTTGGCTGGGTTGTCATTTCACTCTTAATTTTATTTATTTTTATTTTTCTGATTTTATTTAATCTCTTCTTTTTGCATCTTTCTTAACTCTTCACCATTCTATCATTTGGCAAGACATTATCAAGTAGTATATTGTATGTATATTACAATTTATGCGTATATCTCCCACACATTATACAGTACAGCTCAGTAGATAGCCAGTACTAACCTCCCCTCGTATCAACCACTAGTTCACAAACCTAAGTAAGTCAAGTCAGTCAAGTAGGTACCTTGGTAGTACCACCGCATTAAACGAAATAGGCAAGTGGCCTCTAGCAGTCAGAATCAGCCTAGCAGGCTATGCTGTCACCCAGTGACACTAGAGTTAGTTAGCGGTGGTGGGGAAGGGGCAAAAAAGAGGCGGGGACAGGATGAACGTCTACGGAGCCGGTGAGTGTTTGTTGGCCAATTGTGGGGGCATGGAGGGCTGGCTGTTGGGTGTCAGACAGACATAGCTAGTTAGGACAGGACTGATGATCGCCGGGTGGGTTAGCACGTCATTTTTCTTTCTTACTTTTGGGACGGAGGACTTGGGGTGTTGTTTTTGTTGTTGGGAATCTTGGAGGGTATGGGGTCTAGTTGTTATTACTGGATGTATTTGGTTATTGCTATTATTGTGAAAGTTATCTTTCTTGTTTGTAGGATGTGGTTTGAATGACATTAGTTAGACAGTATAGTGCTAACAAGGAAAGTATACACCGAAGGGATAGTACCATCTAACCCACTCGTGAATCCACTTTTCCTTCAGAATAGGCATATAGTAAGTACCTACCTAGTATCATAGCCACCGAGGATGTACTATTTAGTAACTGAGTAACAGCCTAACAGGTAAGAGGTAAGAGACCGCGATCAGATCTCTCCCCCCCGCTGCTGACACTAACCACTCCCGTCGTAGTACCTGACTACTACCTGGAAGAACTCCCTGATGATACCCTAAGGTACTCCGTGTGAATCGGCACAATCTTATCGGAGAATGTACCCGTCCTGTAGTTATTGGCTGATCTGCATCTCCTTCCACGTATCAATACATGGCATGACATGACATTACATGACATGACATAGCGTATCATGACTTGCTTACCCACTTTTAATCATGTATGTGCTACATATGGTGTTATGCCCAACGGGCCGCATCTGCATACTAGATAAATATTAGTATTATCGTTCGTTATTATTTTGATAATCAATAATGATAATAATAAATCGGTGACCGTCGTGGCATCCGATTTATCCATGCACGGGAGACCCTCAAATAGGAAGAGCACCTTCGATCCCTCCGATCTATCTGTCACATGGCGGTGATCGTCTTAGTCTCAGGGTCCGATTGAAACCTGACTGACTGACTGACTTGACGTGAGTTGACTGTCCTCGGACCCAAAGATCGACGACTAGCTTGTGGCTTAGGCTTGGGTTTGGACGAATTCTTGGGATGTCACCCGTTGACGTGAGGGGGGGGGGTTTTGTTCATCGGGGTTTGGTCAGATCGGTAGAGCCCGAGGATCCACGTACCTCCTGCTTTGCTTGTCTGTCTTTGGCCTGCTGCTACTAACTATTGACTAACGACGGGGTATTTTACTTTTTTTGTTTTTCTTTCTAATTCTTTTCTATTTATTGTTACAGCGTTAGGTGGCGTCCCCGCTTTGGCAGATCGATCGATCGAGACGTTTTTGGTCTGAGATCTGGCTCGGCATAGCATGACCTCATTGGCACTACATACCTACAGTAGTACCTACTCTCCCTGGTTAAGTGTTATGGATTGGGCACCAGGCTGCTGCAGTCCAATGCCTCGTATTTCTTCTCAACATCTAAGTACGTACCTTACGTACCTTCCTTCCTATCTATCTACCTACCAACCCACCTAAGGGAGTGATACCCCTGTCCACACCTGTAAAGCTACCTACCAACTGGACAATGGTATGCCGAGAAGAAACTATTTCTTGTGGCTTTTAATATCCGGGAAACGGTTTAGCCATCTGCACCCCACCGGCGATCTCCCTCGGGTTGGGTCGATCTGTCTGGTATTATCAACTAGGTATTATTATCGGTTACTGGCGTCTTAAGGGATCGTTGATCAGGTCTGACAGTGGTGATCTATTTCCATCATCATCGTAATATTCTTATTCTTTGTCCTCCCTTCCCCTGTCAGCCTGATACTCGAATGGAAGCCGTGTAGCATTACCGACATCCAATAATCCCACCCCTTGTTACTGGCTAGCGCGGGAGACGCTCCTGAGCTACCACCTACCTAGCTCCTACCTACATGAATACATACATACATATCCCGACATGTAGGGAGGGAGAGTAGCACACAGTAGTCCAAGGGGAGACCCTCAATCGATCCGTGCGCCCCTTGGTGTAGCTCACTACCCACTTAGGACCAACCTGCAAGGCGTCAACTCATGTATTTGATCCCCGACTGCATGTACGGTCAATCAGTCAGTCAGTCAGTCAAATCGCCACCCACACTCAAACTCTCATACACCCGCGCTTTCTGCCTAACCGCAGCCCCACGTCTCCCTAACGTGCCTTACTTGGCCTGCATCGATTTCGGGCGTCCGTGCCCTGGTCCTTGGGTCAGTTGGACGGATGGGATTGGGCACGGTAACATTTTCCGCTTGCGAGCCGCTACCCGCGGCTGCCTTGCTTGATTCTCGTCTTTCGTCTGTGGCCTTTGTTGAGGGCTTTGTTCGGGATGTGTCATGGTGGAGTGGGTGGGTGTTGATTATTGATGTGTCTGTGTCTGTGTCTGTCCTGCGAGGGATCGCTGGAATGCTGTGGAGCTGTTTCCGGTGGGTTGGGTTGGTCTGTCTGTCTTTCGAGGATCGACTCCGTGTCTAATTCTAGGATGGTCCTTACTTCTGATGGTCTGATACGTTTGTCTTTGTGAGGCGGTAGGTTATTCGTCCGGAACCAATATGCTGATAGTATGTGGTCTTTACATCCCACTATGCAGTACCCTTCTTCGTTTGGACTTGGCAAAACGTAATGAGATGCCATACACTACGCTATCCCAATGCTATAAGCGTATACAAGGGTTCTATTATACTATGTACGAATATATACAGATCCTACCCAAACAAATACTCCCACCACCCCTTCTTCCATACCCTCCCAAACCGATGATTCACACAAGCCTGGGCACTCCCAAACCCCTCCGCGGAGCTATGTCGCTGCCCATTCCCCCACACACTAACAGGCAGCACACAAAGTCCTCCATGACCGCCGTCCGCCCCCTCTCCCTCTCCCTCCCCCTCCCCAACACACAACGGATCCCTCATCTCATGAAACGGAGCCCACGTCACCCGCCGCGAGCCAGACCCCCCTTCCTCCCCCGCTAAATCCCCAATCCCCTCATCAGCAGCCACCGACCGCTGCACAAGCCAATGCGTCGGCGCCAGCGTCCGCGACAGCACATCAATCACCGCATCAGTGAACACCCCAGGCCCCGTAACCTCCAAGATAGTCGACTCGTCGTAAGCCGGCTCCGCGCCCAGCACGCCACCATGTCGCTGCCGGTGCTGCCGCGTGTGCGACAGCACCCGCACGATCGCCTCCCGCAGGATCGGGCTGAACCGCCGCGGCGCGAACATGGTGTACTGCCCGAACCCGTAGCTGCGGCTCCAGTGCCAGTCGCGCTTGAGCTGTGCTGACGCGTGCGGCTCGTCGATCTCGACACCTAGCACGAGCGAGTGTGCTTGTGGGGTGTCATTCGCGTCGAAGAACGGGAGGAGCGCTGGGCAGTTGGCGATTGGGCGCGCGGGGAATGCGTCTGTGTCCGCGTAGAAACCTCCGTAGTACCAGAGGAGGAGGTAGCGGAGGAGGTCGGCGCGGAGGACGTGGTGTGGGTAGGATTTGTAGAGGGTTTGGAGCTCGGGGACGGATGCGAAGACGGTGTTGATGAAGGTTTTTGCGTAGAGGGTTGTTACGAGCTGGTTTGCGTTTCGTGTTAGGAACGGATTTCAAGGGTGGAAAGAAAAGAAGTAATGAGGGAGGAAACGGAAGGATTGCGTACGGAATAATCCCATTGATCTCGGTTCACCTGCTGGAACAGCAGCGAGTCTTGCCCCCTCTGGGATTTGTGCCGTCCCAGATGAATCTGCCAGATATGTTGTTGTGCGGTGTCGTCGCCCTTGCGCGCCTGTCGCACGGCAGTCTCGATCGCAACCAGCGCGTCGGAGACATTCTTCTCGTAGCTGAGGTCGGGGTCCGACCGGAAGGACGAGCGATATAGATACCGAGGG